GGTATCATGCTGCCAGGCAGATTTTCTCATTTGAGAAAATAAAATCTGAGTGGCACCAAAAGATTTAGCACCAATTGCAAAACCACCAGATACAGAGGCGTCCTTCCAGCACGATGCTGCCTGGTTTGAACACCTAAGGGTGGAGGCAGCCCAGACCGCAGCGGTGCAAGAGAACGACAGGGTAGGAGAGAACTCTACCAAGAGAGATTATAAATTGCTTGTACCATGTTCAAAGTATCAGCTTATTTTTGGTGTTTGTGTTGTGATTGGAAAAGGGGGGAAAAAAAAAGGTAACAAACTACTGAGAAATGTATTAAAAAAGCAGGAGGCATCTTACGCTGAGCAGGCTCTTCAAATCAACCTCAGCTTTGGTGTGCATTTGGGAATTAAATGTTTTATACTATGGATATATAGAAAACTTTTTAAAGCTTACCTCTGAGGAGAACCATCCTTGTTCCATCTGTCAAAGCACAGCAGGAAAAAAGTCATTACTGCATTCAGACCCTTCCAATGCGGATGCTTGAAACAGAAGGAGAGAAGGGGAGTCCAGGTCTGCACCTGCAGGCAGGAGGAATGCATCCTGCCAAAGCGTGCACTTCGGGTCAGGAAATGCTCCATAACATTTGGTATTTGGTACAAAAATGCAGGACAAATTAATGTGTCTGTTCAGTGACAATCCCAAACCAGAGAGATGCATCTTCTCTGCATCCTCCCTGAAGTTTAGGTAGGCAGATTGTCATGGGGAAAGAACCAAGCACCTTGCTTAGAATTCTAATTTATTATTAAATTACATATCAAAGTTGTTTTTTTTTAATACATACAGAGAATGCACAATAGGTGAGAACAAAAATAATTACAGTTACAATAAAATAAGTTTCAAGAAGCTATACGAAAAGCAAAAAAATCAGAAAGTGCAATCAGAAACTCCTTTACAAGGGTCTGGACTGGGATATTTTGTGAGAAAGAGTTTTGCTTTTTGCCTTGAGTGTTTATTTAAAGATGGACCAACAGCTGCTTACATATTCGGAACTGAAGGCATCACCACTGGGTTCAAACATCTGGTCGAGAGGACACATACAGGGCACCAAGAGGACTTGCAGATGTCACCTAGAAAATGGCTCAGTTTTGTCTCAGCGTGTCCTTCGCTGCAGTCTCCTGTACTGCACATTGCTCAACAGAACCACTGCTCGGAGAGATTTCACAATCCCACACTGTCCTAAGGAGTTTCAGAATTATTTCCTCCTTCAGAAGCGATACAGCTGTTACCTCTCCTTCCTGTTTCAAATGAAAGCTTTGGAGAGAAGAAAAAAAAAGTAAAACCAGGAAGAGGTTATGCATCAAAGGATCTCGGGGAAAAAAGCTGCTAGGTTCAGAGAATTCAAACAGTCCCGACTAAATGAGTTACACAATCAGAAGTGGTGGACCAGACTTTGCTCCCAGTGTAGCAGGTTTGGGGGAGCTTCAGAACGTTCCCTCAGGGGAGCTCCTGAGGATGCAGCTCTGGAGGACGAGCTGTCGACAAGTCATCTGAAACTTCCACGTCACCTCGAAATCTACTTTTGCTCTTTCGTTTTCAACATCCAGTGAGGAACTGACTCTTCTCACAGTAATCTTAAGACTGTCCAAAAGAAAGGACTTCTAAAACTACAAATGAAAAATTCTGATTATTCAGTGTAACGAATCCAGCA